TATTAGATCTTGCGTTATTATAAATCGTACTATCCGTGAACGTCAACACCCTCAACCTCTAAATTTCTCTTCGATGGATATTGTGTCCTTTATGCTAAAACGGGAATTATTTAATAATTTAGTTAGATCTTCTCAGGGATCACTCCAGATTATATTGTAACAACAGAAGACAAGAGCAAGGCAACAGATCGTTTATTAAGGAAATCAACACATATTTGTAGATTTTAATGTACATTATTGTTAGTAGAAAATACAGTCTTTTGATTGGTCGTTTCTCACAGAAAGTTAACCTTGCATCTCTTTGTGGCTGTGTCAGATCATCCATATGCTAACTGTATCCGCCTACGCACACCCTTGTTCTCATTTCCTCACAACCAATATTGGGGACATAAACGCTGACGTCAATTACTGTCTACCAACTTTGGCTAGCAGGCAGCTTTCACCACAATATAACTTTAAAATAATCTAACCATGATAGGTTGCCAGTAGTAGTAGTAGTCGCCGTTGTTGTAGTAGATAAAGGTGAAGTAGAACAGATTAGTCAGATCAGGTGTTGCCAGATTGTAAGGGAAGTATTTGAACTGAATTTTAATGAACATGGACTAAGAATGAAAAAAAACTGCTGATAAACTAAATGGTGAGGAAGGAATTAAAACTGTATAAGGCTGGTGATGTAATTAATATGTTATATCTTAGCTGTGCATAGGGAGTGTAACAGTCGAATACTCACCAAACATTCCTCATCTGGTCCAGAGTTCGATTCCCGGCCGGCTTACTGCCAAACTTCGCCCAGGTGTTAGTAAGCCCAGTAAAGATAGGAGGTTGGGTGTGAGGGTAGCGACCCCTTCCCTTATAAACAAAGCCCCTCGACGCGGCCAAGTCATTCACTATTGTCAGCAGACAAAGAAACAAGAAGATGCTTGCAATTGCAGAGGCTTGTGCAATTCGAGTTTACAAACCAGGTCTCTGTAATTACGTATATTTTGTTTCCATGTACACCCTGAGTACAACTCTTTCATTAAACTATTCATGTTATTACGCAACTCTTCTCTAACAATCGTTTGTGACAACTCATCACTTTTGTTACTACTCTCTTATATCAACATTCAATTCATCTGAACTTACTAATTGTATTTTCGTTTGACAAATTTAATGTACACACACATACAAAACAACCATATATATCTACGATTGTACAGCTATGAAAATGAATTCACCGAAAAGAGACTCTTCGCTGAACTACTTGTCTTCTGTCTATTAATGTTCGAATGGGAATTTTTCATGAATCACAAAACAGTCGAACAGTTAATTCAATACAAAAAAAGGATGCTCATCGGTGTAAACTGATGTGATTCAGGTCAGTGTGCATGAACATATAGAAGAGACTAGCTACTGGCCGTATTCCGATAGGTTGTTACCTGGGTTCTAGTCAGGATTCAATGCTACTTTATGAATAAGAGACTTGGCGCGTCACATAGGGAAACTCAAACAAACTACAGACCTTCATCAACAGCTGTCTTCGCTCAATACTCAATATGAGGTGGTCATTATAGGTCAGCAACAGGGATCTCTGGGAGCGAACCAATCAGGAACCGATTGTGCAACAAACAAGCAGGAAGAAATGGAGGTGGATTGGACATTCTGTGAGGAAACCATCATGTGACATCACAAGACAGGCCCTTCGAGTGGAACCCGAGAAGGAAGCAGCGAGTTGGTCGTCAGTGCGAGGGTGACATGGAGGAGATCATGTGAAGAGGATATAAAAGCGTGTGGGCAGACTTGGAGCCGGGAGAAAACGTTGGTGGAGAAGCGAACACAATGGAGACATGCGACTGAAGGCCTATGTTCCTCTAGGAATTAAACAAAACAATAAATAATAATAATAAATAGTGAGAAATCGTAACCAGTACGGCACAACCAGTCAGGTGTGAGCACAAATACTCGCCACCGATGACATTGACTAATGGTCAAGCAGTATCGTGAATTGGCAGAAATTGGAATTAATCGGCCTTTGGATTAGGTCCTAGTGGCTTAATGGTCTACGAGCTCGCCTGGTAACCAGAAGGTACTGGGTGAGAACCCTGGCAGGTGGGTGCGTACTGTGAACAGTCTCAGGTACTAGGACGGAACAGCTGTCTAGTATTTCCAGGTTTCCCAATAGTTCCATCACCGATCTCAGCTCATAATGAAATCCTGTAACCAGTTAATTCCCTGCAAACCAACAATTGAAAATAGAAGAGAGCTAAGAAGTATGCAAAGGTTGCAATTTCCTGTTTCACACGAAAATAAAGCCTAAACATATCTGGATAACAACGGTCTATAATATTTCACCACACATTACAAAAAGGCTCTTGCCATATTCATCTCTGTTGTTTTCTAGACCTCAACCATGAATTCAACATAACTTAGAATAATAGAATATAAACTGAGGTTTTTCCTTACTTCGACTACTGGAATATCAGAAGGAGTCTTGACAGTGTTTCAGATGGCACGTAACAGATAAAACCTTTAGACTTATTCTATATCAACTTCATGCCATGTGATCTACCAGAGTTGATTCTGTACTGAACTGTTTGTTTGGTTAGAGAAACACTCAAGGAAGACTAATTCCTTATTGTAGCATGTAAAACTCCGTCACCCACTGTTGTTATTTGCAGTATTAATCAGTGCATATGATTAATTCCTTCGGCCGTTACTTAATATTATCTCAACAGTTCAACAACGTACAGGAAGACTAAATCAATCCCGTCGAGGACAGTCTGAGATTACATACGGAAGGTTTTAGCGAAATCAAAGCACTTGGTACTTAAAACTGGCTTCCCTATTACCAGGATGTTCAATTTTAAGACAAAATTCCGTCTACAGAGTACTCCCAAGAATTCCCGTGTGTTATTTGCGCTCTGTAGTCCTACAAAACTTAGAACCTCAATCTTTCAACTCCCATAATTCTTCCGATTTGATTCCATATCAGTTTGTCTTTAATTGCTGATTTCGGGGAAATAGAACTACATGATGATTGTAGATCACAGAGAAGTGATATATACAGAATAAGTCAAGCATGAAATACCTTGGAATAGTTCTATCCTCTCACCACCTCTCTCGGTCTTTTCACATCCTATTTATTTCTAAGGAAATGCTCCATCTAATCTTGTACTTTGAAAAAGTGAGGACAATCTGGAATTACTCAATCTTGACCTTTACAATTTGTTAACTCTTGCATCTTACCCATTGTTCTTCATTGCTCCTCCTACCTGAGTCTTTCCTGCACTGCTCAAAAAGACTGTGTAGCATTGCTAAGGGTGTTAACTGCCGTCATTAGGGTAAGTTGTGTGGCACTAGTAAGTTGGCTCATTACTATCATAGTCGACAGACACCTAAACCAATGTGATAAATGGTCTGAATCTACGTTGTCAGTCTCACAGCACCCTGTCTATTCACAACTTTTTTCTTGCATCTCATCAGGTAGAACTGGATTATATGCTCGTACAACCAAGTACAAAAACTCAACGTTACCCTATTTGGCCCACGTCCTACCTAACAAAGATAGTGTTTAGACAGAAGATTGCGACTTGTTGTGTAATTAGCATAGAGGAAAAACTACTCAGTTATTATTCCATATTTGCAAAAACAAATTCCACGTTGATTCTTCAGTCAGACAATCTGATAACTCTACATATTCAAGCACTAAACGTTTCAATCGAACAAGTAACTGAATCAGTATGCTATACAACACAGAGATCGCTCTGTTAGCCACACACACACACACACGGCCTGCTGAAGTTCGAAAATCTGACTAGAAACAATCAGGTAACTTTCAGATGTCCTTATCAAGTAAATTGATTACCACTCGATTCCTCCTGTTTTCAACATAGATTCTAAGTGATATTAGTACTATTAATGGTCTAGAATTCGCAATAATCATATTATGCTAGGGAAGATTCTATGATGAGTCTTACAGTGATGTATCAACCCACGAAGTCAACTTTCAACAATGGCATGAATTAAATGTAACCAAATAAATGTTGGCTATGAAGCTTTACAAAAACTCCCATCTTGTCATTCACCATTACACAATAAAAAGAATGTATCCAATATAAGCGGTGTCACGATATTATGGCGTTTTGTGGTCTAAACTTGATGGAGTCATTCTGAGCGATATGAAGCCGCAAGATCCTCGAATCAAACCATTGCCGCTTCCAAGTGGATATTACTTGCTTCCTTGGTTTGTTGGTTCGTGACTACATAATAAAGAAGGCATATACAAGTAGGCAGTAATCTTTACCTGTCGGTCGGTTTTCGACATAGAACTTTGCACATATGTGCGGCAGTTTAAGTCGCCACAATCTATGTAGCACGCAAAGCAAGAGAAGAAATGCATAATATAGACAGTAAACAGAGGTGTGAGACAAAGGAATAGTAATAACGGAGAACAAAACAGTTTAATAAGTCACAAGGAGTGGATGCATCTGCGCCACTGAGAACGATTTTGAGCCATGTCACCAATTGTTTCCAACCATTGGTTTTTACCATCCCGAGGACCCCAACCAGGAAGTCTACATCTTCCTACGTAGCTTAGACTAACTGTTGTGGATTTCATTGACTGGTGCCATGTTTTCGTTTGACCGCCGCTAGCTCTTTTCCAGCCTGGCCCTATATCAGCTAACATTGCCCGTCAGTCGAGGAAGGTGATGACTAGGCATACGTAGCACATGTCCTAACCATCTCAGTCGAAGTAATTTCACCGTTTCGTCGATTGACTTCCCCGCCTTACCTAGCACTCGACGCCTAACCTCAATATTGCTCATCTTTACCTGTAGTAGTGAAAGGCGGCTTGAGTGAGTGAATATGACTAAATTTCAAAACCACATCACACTAATTATCAGCACAAAACTAATTCATTGCTCGCTCAAGTAAATAATGCACGTTTGACGAATTGAACCCTCTGATGAACTTGAAATTATTTGGGATATAGTCGTTTAAAAATTTAAAAAGGAAGGAAATCAAATTGTTAAAAATATTTTATTTATCTGTAAAAGTGAAATATGTATATGCACATCTCAGAAATAGAACTCCTGACAACCACCTCTTAAAAATGCCAAAACATTGACTGCATCATCCTCCCATGGTTTGACATTTTGTGCAAGTAGATCATCAACTTCACTTGGAGTGAATCCCCAGGCTAAATCTTCCTCCGAATATCTGGAGCGTCTATTAAGAAAACTATAGTCTAAGCGCTGTGCTACAAAACGAGGTGAACTACGCCCACCATTTCTACTATTTGGATTTCCACCACCACCGCCGCCACTACGACCAGCACCACCACGACGTCGATATCTGCGTCTAGAACTAGTAGATTTTGGTTTCTCACCCTCAGGCTTTTGTTCCTCTCCCTTTGCTTCTTCAACTTTTTCTTCAACCTTCAGATTGTTTGAATTACACGGTTTTTGAGGATCAGATTCTCTTAGATTTGGATCAAAATTCTCCTTATTACTTGAGTGTTCTTGTTTACAATCAGTTGTTTGACTACATTTCGGTTCATCATTCGAACAACAGTCATGCTTCACAACTATCTCTGTGATTTTATCTCCATTCACTTTCTGTGACGTCTTTATGTCTTTGGGAGTTTTCGCATGTCTAACTCCATGTCTCTTACAAGTAGGTTTTTTAATTCGAATAATACGTGTTTTAGGAGCATCGACTGGCAGTGGTGGTTGTTCTACGACGTTAGCCAGATGACCAAAGTTGAATTCTTTATTCGCTTCACTGACTAAGTTCATATTCAATCGTTCTAGTTTTACCAAGATCTCATCTCGCATTTTATCGAAACGTTTCAGTTGTGATTTATGATGTCGGATAAGAGCTGCTGCATAGTGTAGAACCGCCAAACGATCAGTTTGACTATCATCATCACTACAACTACTATCAAAGCTATCCATATCTAAAAGGGAAAGAGATAATTTTAGAGCGAAATATACAGCGAACATATATATATATATCCCAGGTTAATAAATTAATCTTTAACTCATGAATTTCTCCATATACATATGCAGAAGAAAATGGAGATGGATTGGGCATATGCTGAGGAGACTGTCGAAGGACTTCGCAATCCAGGCCATCGGTCGAGTGGAGCCCGAGGATGGGAAAAGACGGGTGACATGGAGATCATGAGATCACGGTTAAATGTGGGGCCATATTAAGAGGACCACAGAAAATAGGACAAAATCAAGACGTGTTACTGAAGCCCTACGTTCCACTCGAAACCCAAAGGGACAATAATGATAATTATATATGCATAATACAGTCATTTTAGGTGTCTTAATCTCAATAAGTCTGAATAATCGGTAATCGCCTTTTAGAAAATTCAGCATAACAACGAGAATGATTAGTGTTTATGGAAGCAGCCGGCTATTCATTTATTTTACAGCCTTGGGTTCCGAGTGGAACTCAGGGCTACTGACTGACTGCTTTCAACGTAGAACTTTGCACCAATGTGCATCAGTTCAAGTCGCCACACCATGTAACACACGAAGCAAGGAAAGAGAGTGAAGAGATATTCAAAACAAAAATGAGGCAAAAAGAATAAGTAATATGGAAGAACAATAGGATTTTATTGGATATGACAAATCACAAAGAGTGGATCCATCTAGGCCAGCTATCACCGAGAGCGATCACTTTGAGCCATATCACCAATTGTCTCCAGCCTTCATTGGTTTTTACTATCCCGACGACCCAAACCAGTCATGAAGTCTATATCTCCCTACGTCACTGGCTGAAACTAACTATTGTGGATTTCGTTGACTGATGCCTTTTTTTCTTATAAGTACCACTGACCACCATTAACTCTTTTCCAACCTCATCGATCATATGTCAGCTGACATAGCCCGTTGTCTAGGAAGGCGATGGCTAGGCATGCGTAAAACATGCCCTAACCATCTCATTTGTTGTAGCATCAAAACCTCGTCTATTGATTTCCTCTCGTTATCTAGCACTCGACCGATGCCTAACCTCAACATTGTTCACCTTGTCATACCACTGAACACGGGGGATAGAACGCAGGCACCTATAATCAAAGACAGCTAGCCTTTACGTATCTTTCACTTCTAATGGGCATGTCTCACTCACTGTCATAAAGGAGGGCAGAGTGAACTGATGCTGGGTAGTACAAACACTCTTTGGTTTGACAGCCAGCCCGATATCCCGTCTATGGCAGACAAGGCGTAAGTTGGCATGTTCCGAATGCGCCTTCCGTATCCGTTCTGAGATTTCGTTAGCAATCAACCAGTTGGCGCTGCTGCAACTCCCTAAATGTGTGAAGTGGTCAACATATCTAGCCATCAAGTGCGCAAACGTATTCTAGAACACCGTTCAGCCAAGGAGAGACCATATCCCTCTGGAGCACTGGTTTTCACACCAAGTCATAAACTCCTGCAACCGACTTCTGGAGGAAGTAGTGTCAGCGCTCTAAACTGGCTCACTCAAGAAGGCCTTGAGCAAGAAGAGAAATTTAGAAGTAAAGGACTACCATATGCTTCGAGAGCTCTATCCGAAATCAATAAATCAGAAAAGCACAACATACTTTCATTCGCTCTACCGTGGCCACAATAACGTTCTTACTATAATTTTGCTCCATTTCAATTTGTACGTCTACTGTTATTATTATCTTATCATTACTCTATTATTGTCTACTAATAACAGTGCATCTGCTTCTAGATTACACTTTGCATTACGTAATACACCTTTTAAAACAAGTTTACTAGTAGCTGACTGGTCTGGTGATTTCTCTGGTTAACATAAGCATGATTGCACAGCTTCAGAAAATAGATCGTCGAAAGAAAAATTCTCTTTGCTGTTTACTTCTTTCCCTCTTTCCTAAATTCCGCGAAGATATCGTCGACGGAATTCGCGTTATCGCGTTAATAGCATATGTTGTGCGTTCGATAACATGCTGCAACTTCTTATGTATGCGAAAGAAATGGTAACCAGAAAGCTGTTGCCTCTTACTATGGGGTCAGTAACTCGGCAACAACTTTCTGAAGGGATAATGTCAACTCATTATACATGTATATATGCCCAGCTAGCATTGACTTCAGATGCATCACAGGCACTTCGTGGCAGATCGCAGACAACTGTCCCACTTTCTATGATGCGCCATGAGTTTTCCCACACAATGTCTGCAGTATTATTAATCGATTGGTTTCCAATATCTAATATCCTGATTACGAGATAGGATAAGCCAGTGATTTCTTTGAGCTCGCTTCTTGATTGTAAGGTAGAGTTTCCAGATTTTCAGTGAACTTATGCGTAGTAAATCCCGCCACTCGAATGCTTTAGCTCTGGTAGACCCCAAGAGGAGTGATGCGAGGATTGGTAAAGATGTGGTTTGTAGGGTGCAGTATGTTAGGACTCAGTTGCTGCCGTGAATGGAGTTTGACTTAACACCCGTTGGTCATTCGAGTAGAACACAGGGCTTCAACAACACATCTCAATCTCGTTCTGCTTTATGCTATTCTCTCACCATCGGTGGTATTAAGCAGTCTTCTCTTACTCCTGCATTCACTTCAGAGCCCCTGCACTTTTCCTTTGTGGATCAACCTATTTTTATTTTTATTTTTTTTTTTTTGATTTACAGCTTGATTCCACACCGTATTTTCAGTACAAGTATGGAATTTTCAGCATGGATATCGGTAGCCCAAATTCAGGCCGACCATAGATATCGGGTGTGCGTCGGCAGGGGATCGAACCCCGGACCATGTGCATGGTCGGCGAGAGTCCTAACCACTGTGCCACCGACAAAATGTCTGCAATGGACCCAAATATAAACCTGGCTGGGTATATCAAGCCCTACAAAAACCAGTTTAAAAGCCCGGAAAGTGGCCCTACAGTACGAACAAGATGGGGAAGGTCAATGTATGGAATAGTAGAAACAATAGTCTCGAACGTCTCCTTTCCCTATTCTCCAGTTTCGTCTTGATGATTTTCCCGTGATTCTTCATCGAAACCGAAGCATTTGAACACAAAGATAATAGCATAAGGCATATTGCTAGTCACTTTAAGTGTATTATGATTAATATATCCGAAATGCACTCCACTCAATGAACTGGATATTCAAACACCTACCTCAGATCAGTCTTTTACGAAATTAGCGCCTTCACGTTGCCCTACGATTTTGCGCAGGTCCAATGTCCAATATCTGGTATTCATTCTATTATATAGTATATTCCAAATTGAAAGGAAAGTTCATGGTCTTCGGTAATCTTCTGAGTAGTGTGTCTAACCGTTTGACTGTCTTTGCTTTGGCTAACTCCATGGGTATTGGTGGTATGATTGGTTAAATAAGGTCTGCAGTATGTGGTGTGTTGTGATTAGTTGCTGGTGGAGTTAATCCTTTTACCAGTAAGTGACGTAGTGACGAGTCATTTTTATTGCACGTGTTGGGTGTAGATTCGATGAACAAAGATTCAGTATTCAACCTCTCTCTCTCCACCTACATATTTTATCTTTTAGTGGGAAGATTCCGAGAAATAATTTTAAGTATGTCCTAAGCATTCAAGATGACTCTGGGATATCACCAACGGCTATTGCCAATTTGACCGATTTCTCTGTCACAATAGTTGACCACTGCCTGACGTGAGAATATGTATAAGGGCAGGAAACCGGACATTGTCCGTTTGAGGAGGATATCCAATAAGGACCGGAACACAAACTGTTTCTATCTGTCAGTCAAACCATCCAAACAGAATCCTCAAAGCAATTAAGGCTATGGAAAAATGCCTTAACACTGTCTATAGGTGGGTAGAGAGATCCCACTAAGTTTACAACTAATTAAACTCTGGGTCCTCCCTAAAAAGTGTTGGCGACAGACAACCGCTCGAAGCCAGTGAGTAGCACAAATGTACTTTGGAATGTCGGACGGCTGAAGCCATAACAATAAATGGAGATTCAGGAGTGTCGAGGAAGAGGTTTAATTCTAAAGCGCAAGTAGAACCAAGTAATAACCAGAACGAGTCATGACAACTTATACACTGTTACTTAGGTGCAAATAATTATACTGGCCTATAAGTATAAAACTTGGGCACTGTGGCGGAGTGTAACTCCATTATGGATGAGATTTATTTTGACAAATCACACAGTGCTACACAGTAATATTAACTGATGTCGTTTCGAGCACGAATTATTGTTCATAATCATATCAAGTTACTCACACAACTGGCCGCACAAAGCGCACACTTTCCAAATGCATCTCTGAACATTATCCTGTATGGCTAGCAAAAGGACAATGCAAGACAGTTACCGGCTCAGTTCTCGAGCACTTGGCGAACTCAAGTCACGTAGGTCCACCAGAGTCTTCTTTTAAGATCACCTACGAGGTGAAGCCAAGTGTTACAAAGGTTGTCAGGTTTCGGTTTTGTGTATGATGGGGGCGTCGGTAATTCGTCAATACAACCCCAAATTCTGTATACAGAAAACGTTTGTCCAGTCTCTTATTCTACCTTGGTCTTAACTTCTTTATTAGTCCTTCCCTGTAAATTTTTATTTCCAATTTTAGTGCTGTTTGCTGTAATAAGTAATTCACTATTATCACTCTCAAATATTCCTGTTGTGCATTTTCACACCCTCTTCACACTTGTTAAATTGACACTCAACTACCTTCTCATTCACTAACAATTTTTACCTTATCGAGTTTCTAGCGCTCTGTTCCTTTATGCCGTTGAGTACTACGTAGTTTGCAACTTTTATTTTTATTTTTAAAGCTATTTCTGAGTAATTATATCATTTATGTCACCCCTTCCCCCATTACTCACTAATGGAGTACTATACAATTTCGGTAAATATAAATACGACTTTACAGCCTGTGAAGATGATTTCATTGATAAAGGAAATTGTCTTCGTTAAATTTCTTTCATTTTTCTCATGACTCAATGGGTATTCCCGGCCAATTATTATCATCCCCTTGGCATCTGAGCGGAATATGGAGATTCGGTGGCATGTCCCCACTTTATCCTGTTTTCTGCAGTCCTCTTCATCTGACTTCATGATTTCCCATAACCTGCCACCTTCTCCTCACACGATCTCCCCCATGTCACGCTAGAATCCAGTCCCAACTCGTATTTTCTCATTCGAGCTCCACATGATGGCGTGCCCGGAGTGTGATGTCGCTCAACAGTTTCCCCAGTGCATGCCCGATCCATCTCCATCCATTTTCTTATACATATTTATTTAGCAATAGGTATTTGGTTTATTTAACCCTAGAGTTCATTACCGTTTATGTTTTCTGTTCAGCTGATTTTCATTAAAGTCAGCTGTTAATGAGAGTCTACCAAATAGGGGAACTGACCGATTTAACGTCACTGTTGAAAATCTTAATCTCCTTTAAGCCGAGTGTTGTATATCTCAAGACTGTTTTCACAGTAATGAAGGTCTATCTTACCTTTCAGATTCTGGTCTCGACATCCTCATATGCGTTGGCAGTAGGTGAAACAACTGAAAGAACTTCCATTGTCGAATTTCTATTGTTGATAATGACTGGTGTCTGCTGTTGTTTGAGGTCCTCTAAATATTTGCTTGAAGTTTTCTTTTCGCTGCCTACATCTCTTCTGTCAACTTGTTAGTTTTATCCAGCAAATCTTCTAGTGTGTCACATTAAACATAAATCCTCTTGAAGTCCTAGATAATCTAGATAATCGAACCAGGTGACGCTTTTTGCACGTGTTTTCGTTTATATTCATTTATTGCTTACTGTTGATTGATCTTTAATAACGATGGGCCGAAATTCTAAAAGGAGTGTTCGTGTCAACACCAGTAATTTAGAAAATAGCACCAGCTCGTCTAATAACACATTACCACCCCTTATTATTAGTAGTTCACCCAACGTAAAAGACTGGAACATAACTCTGACCCCTGTAATACAGGTGGAAGATGTTCTGTCTGAAAAAGTAGAGCTCTCTTACCTAACATGCATTATTGAAGAGATGCAGCTACAGATTGATGAATTAAAAACGAAATTAAGTTCATTTGAATGTATACCCGAAACTGTCTCACTTATGAAAAAGGAACTGCAGGATCCTACAATCCTAAAGCTTTTTAATATGACCTCTAGAATGACGCCTACTGACTCAGAAAATGCGAAGGAGTTAGAAAACGCCATTGACTTTCTATCCAGCGAAGTTGTTAAAAGGCTGGCTTCGAAACAAAACGCTATAGTGTATAATGTACCAGATAGCGAGCCCATTAAGTCGGTCCAGTACTCATTGCTGAAGGCTGCAAATCTCTTGAGTGCACCTTGTCAGTGCATTCGCCTAAGTAAAAAAGACCTAAAGCATCCCTGTCCTATACTCTTTAGGTTCGACAGCTACATAATAGCTGAACGTTTTAAGAAGGCCGAAGATCTTCTGGCTACTGCCACTAAATTCAAGACTATTAAAGTAGTCTCGGATAAAACAACTAACCAAAGACAAGCAACCAAGAACTCCTTCGATACAAAGTTGAACACACCGAGAACTACACCTGGTATCAGTGCTAAAGTGTCGACGGACACTGAAGCACAGCAAGTCACCTGTATAGTGTTGGGAAAAGAATCGGCAAGTAAAAGCGACTCGAAACTCAGTAAGAGCAGTGTCACTGGGTGCAATCCTAAAGTACATGAGAGCACATCTGGAAAACCTGCTGACATACACGAGGTTGATATTGACTCACAAACTATGTCTGACCAGAAACCACTGGCAGACCACACTCAATCTGGATGCAAGCCCGAGAGTCCCGCAGTAGAAACTGCAAGAAAGACGACAAAGCCTAGAGTCCCACTCCAGACTTCGACATACCTCCCTCTCAATAAGTCTAATAAGCAACATATCAGTCTAAAAAAAGACAATGCATGGGTAAAAAACCATATTCCCAAAAAAGTCATCCATCATGTGAATGAAAACACCGCTTCCCGAACTAGGAGTAATATGCCTAGCAACGCACATAACTTGGGAATGCAACGTAGAACGGATCATCAGGATATAAGGAGCACTAAACGGGGCTCGTATAGGCACCATATTAATGCATATTCTTGTCCAAACTCTCACACTATCTATGTTGAGCCTCAGCAACATAATGAGTATAGATCGACACTTGACCCTCTCAATAACTTCACTCACACATGTGATGTGAGCCAATATGCATACGACTATGAAAGACCCATGAGGTACAACTACCAAGGTAATCTCAAAACAGGGTACCTAGGCCAAGCAAACTATATATCACCAGTAAATGAACGCAGATACCCACCTATGGATGCTAAAAGTCAAAGCATGCAACAGGATTATTTTCGGATGCAGCAAACAATAGCCCCACTCGCTGCACAATTCATCCAGGAAATAGTACACACACTGACTCTGTCTCACCTCAGAGCCCCTCCAAACATAACGTAGGAATAGTAACAAGTAACCATGTTAACCTCTCCCCCAATAACTCTGGTTTACTAACGATTATGCTCCTGAATGCTAGATCTCTCCTTAACAAAATAACATCGCTTCGCTGCCTGGCATACATAGAACGGCCAACACTAATAATGGTGACTGAAACCTGGCTTACTACTGATATACCTGACTCAAAGCTAGTAATAGACAACTACGACATCTATAGGAAGGATAGAGTTGACAAAAGAGGAGGCGGCTGCTTAATATATGCCTCTAAATCCACTAACTCCAATACTTTCAATAACCCAACTACTGACAAACTCCCTGAATCTAAGTGGATAAGCATCCACACAAACGAAAATAAAATTCTCACGGGATGTATATACAGACCCCCTAATAGCCCTGAAATGACTGATATAACTATCGAAGAAATACTAGAGCATGTAGCCTCGCTGGACTTTGACTACAAAGTAGTCTGTGGCGATTTCAACTTACCTGGAGTAAACTGGGATACCTGTACAGGACCTAGAATCCATGACGAGTTACTACAAGCTATAGACGTAGGCGGATGGAAGCAGTGCGTACGCCTCCCTACAAGAAATGAAAACACTCTTGACTTAATCCTTTGTCATGAAATAGAGCCCATCTCGATAGAGGTAGGAAACAAACTTGATAACAGTGATCACAACATATTGTACTGCACGCTACCCCTCCGACTAACAACTAAACACACACCTAAAAATTCCCCGGTGCACTATCAATATAGGGACTATAAGAATGCCGATT